ATGCTATTTGTTGTTTATTTTTTCCAAATCCTCGAGCTGTTGCATAAAATTCAATCTGTTCTTTTATAGTTAATAAATCAAAAAGAATATCATGTTGTGGACAATAACCCATCGATTTTCTTAATAATTCCATATTTGTTCGTGTATCAATATCCATTCCATCTTCACTTTCCATTGTTATTGCACCCGATGTTTGTCTATGTATTCCAATTAAACAATTAAATATTGTTGTTTTACCTGAACCATTCGGTCCTAATAATGATGTTATTTGATTTTCATATAAATCAAATGATACGTCGTTAACTGCAATTTTATCTGGACCAAATTTTTTAACAAGATGATCTACGTGTACAATAGGTGTACTATTCGAATGAGTTCTTTTAAGAGGTAATGAACGATCAGGAAATGATTCGATGCTATGATGAACTTTTTCTGAACGCCAATAATCTCGTTTGAAAAGAAAATTCCAATCAAGTCCAATACCATATTCACCTAAAATTTAAAAAAAAGAATACATTGTAAATAAAGATTTAGTTAGTAGAGTACAATCATTGCAGTAGTATGTTATTAGTACTCGGGCTAATGCATATTATTCAATTGATCTCACCGTTCGATATCGTAAACACTGAATTTCCATATAAAATTATATGGTTTTTAAAAATTCATAAAAGATATTATCGTCTTGAGGATGTGGGTGAGAGCGAATGTAGGCGTGGATGTATACGTATGGACTACTCTTCGTCTACACCAACACCCATTAGTTAGCCACATAAAACTCAAATTATAACATCATATTCATAGAAGAAAAATCAAGGGGAAGGGATTCTCATGTAGAGATGATCCAAACTCAAATTCAAACTGTTTGGGGGTTTGGGTCATGTCTATTCTCACGCACGGTTAATCCTAATGAATATCTGTAATTATCAGTTATTCTTTACCTGGAAAAACTTTTTCCAAATACCAGGATAAAATCCAATAGAAAACACAGCTAACAATCATAATAATTAATGTTACAAAATAGATTGGTACATGACGATATATTGTTTGAAATACTGCCAGATCTTTATATGCTAAATCATGTAAAACCGCTTGCTAAGAAAAAGCAAAATTTTAATTACGAAACTTAATAAATAAAATTCCTTACTTGAAAAATTGAATGTCCAGCAATATAAGGACTAACAAATATCAATATATATTGTATAGCTGTTGGCCATACAATAGTATATGGATATATAAATATCGATACAGCATATATGAAAAAAGTGCCTAATACTGCACGAACAGTTTTATCAAATAACTGTGCATTCATTATACAAAATGATATTAATTGTAAACCATATATAAAATATCCAAAAAAAAGAACACCAAAATTAACTGTATTGAAATATGCATCAGGTTTTAATTTTAATTTATATACAATACATAATAATATTGTTAAAAAACAAATAATAATTAATGTTCTAAAACAACAAAATTCGAAATATTTAAATGAACAAAAAAAAATTTTTTACCGAATTGCTTGAGCAAAATTATTTAGAATAGGTTCAATTCCGAGTACTTTAAGAATTTCTTTCACTTTAGCATTTTTTTCTCGAATTAAACTGATTAGAAGAATTAAATATCTAAGAAATAAAAATATATACATCTATTAATTTAGAAATATTTTACATACGGAATAAAATATACGAAATCAATAAACAGTAGAATTATTGTTACGAATGCTGACCCACCCTCTAAATAAAATATTTATTTCTTTTTTCAATGTATATAAATTTTATTTTACCGAAAAGAGCATCTCGACGGTATGGTGTACATATCATAGCTTTTCGTTCAAGTTCAAATTCAATAGATCTATTCGTTTGATAACCAATAAGTAATGAATCAATAAACATTTTTACATCACTAAATTCAGGTAATTGTGAACCTTCTTCATTATTATTATCAGTTACATTAGATCGATCAGGAATAAATGCTAAATATATTTCAAATTTAAACTTATACAAATAAAACTATTTTAAAATTATTTACTTGGATGTAAAAATGATAGAAATGATAGATCAACTGGAGCATTTTTAGGAATAGTACTTGGCATTCGAACCATTATATTATCTATATGTAAATATATGCAGATTCGCTATTTTTTTATTCTTTAAATACTTACAGCCAAGATTGTGTTCATTTTTTAAATTAGATGCTGAACCAAAATCAATAATAACTGTATTTTCTGTATCGTTTTGTAATAAGTTATTATCATGTTCAGCATCCATATTTTGAGTCCTGTAATAAATGTTTTTTTTTTTATTAATATAATTAATTAAATAGATTAACATACCAAACTTTTGTATTTTCACAATTCATAATTTTCAAACGTTCTTTAGCACGTTCAACAAGAATTCGAGTGTCATCTGTCATTGGTTGAAATACAAAATTTGTTGTATTTGAAACTATTTGTGGAGAAAAAAATCCAAGTCCACGTCCTTTGTAACTTGGTGGAAATTTGAAACAATTTTTTATTGAATTTGTTGATAAACTTGTTGCTATTGTTGCACTTCGATTTTGTGAACATTGAGGACGATCAAAATTTCTTGGAGTAGAATTCGGATTGTCATTCAGTTCTCTAATGAGTGCATTAGTTCCATAACGTGTTAAAGCTAATAATGCAATTAGAATCAATGGAAATAAAAGTTCACAAAGTATTGTTGGACAACATCCACAACATCGTTGTCGATATGAATATCGAAGTGAACGTTGAAGTAATAGATTAAGTTTACGAGATGAACCAATGGGAGAATATTCAGCTTTTGTTAGATGTTGTCGTCGTGGTTCTGACATTGGATATTCATTTGTATTGTTTGGATGATATAAATGTTGTGTCGATGAGGAATACATTGACTGTTCTTTATCAGACGGATTTTCCAATGGACCTATAAATATTAAGCAATAAATATAAGAATATTCTGGATATCAATGCCTGTCTTATTCATAGAGCAATAGTTACATGTTATTACTCCGGATGGAGTGATTCCCAGTGAATCAGAATTATGTATTCTATTCATATCTTCATCTACAGCAGGTAACAATGAATAAGCTTTCATGATTAAAAAAATAATAAAATAGGAATGTTTTCCTCATGTATTTATATGAGTATAATTACCTCTGAACAATATGATAACTGTGCAGAATCTGCCGCTAAAATAAAAGATTTCTCAGACCGAGCAAAATGCTCCTCATCAATAGTGGAGAAATTATCAAAAAAATTAAAAAAGTTTCAACTAGTCGCTCGCGCAAATGGACAGATTCTGCACTACTGCCACTATATATATATGTCTGTGCTTGAATTTCCTTCCTCGCAATAAATTCTTATCAGTTTGCAAAGAATGTAAATCTTTACCTTTTTTTTTAACGTTAATTTATGAGAAATATCTAAAAAAAACAAAAAAAAA